CGCTTCATATAAAATCTATAGTTTTTTGCTGTTTTAGTTTAAAAAAATGTTACCATGTGCAGTATAAAACCGGTCCAAAATGAGACGAGTCCAGTAAATTTTGGACTTTTTAAAAACAAGAATCTATTTTATGAGGATAACTTTTAACATACTTAAAATGAGCCGAAATTGTTACACGGAATCTTTGTCATAAGATATCTTCGATGAAATGTTTGCCCTCTTGATGGATCTGAAAAACAAGTGGCAAACTATAAATTCAAGAGAACGTGATACACGCCAATTTTTAAGACTTTGTTGGGTTCCAGGTCAATGAAATAGCTACGTTGGAGATATATGTCAAGAACTATTTCGAAAAGGTGCGGGATCCTTGTTGCAAAATTGATATATCTTTAAGTAATGAATAACGTCAGGATGATAAAGAAGGAAGACTATGGTCCACTGTGTAGATGTTTATTGCTTCAATTGTTTGGTAGTTCTGTGGTCAACACTTTGACCATTTTCTACGATATAGATTTCAATTGCATATAGGGTAAACGCACCTAATTCCGGCATGTACCAATAGTCGGCATCTGTTTTATATAACTTCAAATAACTAAAAAATCCTATAACTAAAAATAAAAAAATACCTTGAATAATCCTTAATAATACTGCAACCTATCTCTGTATAAAATTTAATCGAGCTAAGGCACTACTTTACATAATTATTAATTTAATCTAACAAAAGTAAACAAAACAGATGAACCTAAATACAACATAGTTAAAAAAAAATCTCTCCTTTTTTTAGGATGAGCTCCTCTGCGCTAATATGGCAGTCGTGCAGGCTTAAGTCTAAACTTCAAAAATCCTTGAAGTCACACTACATGGAATTATTAAATGTGTCTGGAACCAATAATGAACCTTTAAACCGAATCAGTTGGAAAATAATGATGCTGTTATCAAAATAGCGTTTTGACATACGTATAACACATGTCAAAACGCATATATTGCTTGCAGGACACTTAACCTTTAATTGTCCGAAATGAAATGGGAAAATCCAGTTTAAATGTTAAAAATACCGCTAATTGGCGACAATGTAATACAGACGTTATTCCAAAACATAAAACGATTTATATCGTTTTCAACTCTAATATAGCATATTTTAAATTATCGACCAAGATTTCGAAGATTTGCGATTGGAATGCCGACAATAATTTGCCTTCCTTGCATATACAGGCTTATGTTTAAGCCCGGTTCGCGTATCATTTGACCCTGATTACAAGAACCTACTTATTTTCTTGCGGAAATTCATATTTCCGGAAATTCATATACCAAGATTTCGAAGAGTTGCGACTGGAATGCCGACAATAATGCCTTCCTTGCATATACAGGCTTATGTTTAAGTCCGGTTCGCGCATCATTTGACCCTGATTACAAGAACCTACTTATTTTCTTGCGGAAATTCAGTAATATGGGTCTCAACGTAACAAATCAAGTGATATGGAGGCTCATATCACTCTTATATTTCAAATATTCAAATTGTAAATAGTAAACCACCAAGACACCACTCAACCATACCCCCACCCACATTAATTATTCCTTTAAAATATTTTTCATTCGCTTCGTATGCAATAACGGAAGTCACATACCTTATTGGGATACGTCGAGAATTTTTGACAGAACGTTATCAATTTACTAACATACAAAACATATGTATGTAGGTATATGAGTCATATTTCAAGTAAACGACGAAAGGAGTTGTTTTGCCGCAATGCCAGTTTGGCGACAAGCCGAAGCCGGTGGTAGCAGCAGCATCAACATTCTACATACTCACAACAACAATGACAACAAACTCAATTGATTTACGACCAAGCTATGCATACACAAAACACAGATAGTGAAAGTGTTTAGGAATGGAGCAAAAATACAAAAGAAAACACAGAACAACACAAGTAGGGACATACTTTTCTGTTTCAGCCAAGAATACGCAACAGACACATTCATGCATGCATCCATTCATTCATCCCCCTGCAAACAAACATTGTCACATGTCAAAATGCTATAAGTGATAAGACTGTGTTCACACATACACACGCCATCAATATTGCAGCTCAAAAAGGATGTGCCAATGTTAATTAAGAATTCATATAGGCATACGGCGGCAAGAGCAACAACAACAAAAAGAGAATTCCGAATGAAAACATGAGCCAAGAATGGCAAAAGGTGTGTTCGTCGTTATAGAGAACGCATGCCATATACACACGCTCACTTATAGTTTATTAGACATCCACCCACTTATGGCATCCATCTATACATCCCCAACATAAGTGTAGTATTTGCAATCAGGACTAGACAAAGGCAAAAGTAATCACACAATTAACAACAACAACAAACACAAGAAAAATATCTCATATAACTAAACTTACCTTGAACACATAAAAAATATTTGTGAATCCAGCAAATGATAAGGAGACAAAATTGAAGCGAGAATGGCAGAAAGTGTTGAAAAGGATAATAATCACATGTTCTATTTATTTCCCACCCATCCGAGCATCGTCGTTGGCGACGTTGTGGGATGCTACTGCTGCTGCGACTGATGGCCGAGTATCCCACAAATAGCTATGGCACTTTATGGCATACAAAAAATAAGAAAATTTCAAGGATTTTTTCTCTTTTACTTGTATCTTCGTTTAACTATATCTCACTTGTCATTTCATCATTCTCTTTTTGTTTCTTATTTATTTTATGTTATTTTTTTCCTTCTGGAATAATTTTTTCTTTTTAAGTTATTAATTCTTCTTATTGCACATACAAACGGTCGCTCCACCAACGAATGTGGTGGCTTTTCTTTCAAGGTTTGACACCAAAAAAATCACCCAACACAAAATAAGCACAATGAATTATCGTCGTCGTCGAAGTTGTTGTTGCTGTTGTATTGTCACGGAAGATGGATACAAGCCCAAACCGACACCCGCATCAATCGAGATTTGTCTGAGCCGAGGATGCGATGCTATTTTATTTCTTTCATATCTCATTCGCACATATCTTGTATGTATTTTTTATTTCTTGTTTGTCGTTTTTTACTGTGTCAATGCACACAAAAAATCGAAAATTGTTTGCACTATCCACCCCAATAGGATTTTATCTTTTATATTTTCCGATATAATATTTTTTCGATTTAGTTGAATTTTTATTTTTGCAAAATTTTTTGTTTGGGCGTATTTGATTTATATACATATGTATATAATTTTTTTAAACAAATCGGTCAATATTTAATTCGCGCATTAGTCCAAACAATTAGAGCGCGTTCAACCGACTTGTCGACTTCGACTACTCACGCATTTGCAAACTGTCAGAATAGGGATGCAGAGGTCGATCTTTGTCTAGTTGCCAAACGATAAGAGACTAATCGGTCGTTTGTCTCGTTTGAAAGGGTTGCCAATATTACAATATTCGTAATATCGTGTTCACATTGAATAGTTTGATTCATATGAAATATTGTTCGATTTTTCTTCATAAATTTCAAAAGTTTTTGTGACCGGAAAAATACAATTTCATAAAAAAATAAAATACTCAACAAAAAATCATTATCGAAAAACTTTTTGGATAACTTTCATGGCATAATTATACAAAGTAGTCTCAGGCAGTCATATGTTTCCAATTTTTTCATAAATTTTCCATTGACAACATTCAGTTTTCAAAATTTAAATTAAAAAATCATCCTTCGCAAATCATGTGTTCAGTGGCAAAAATTGCTAAATCATTTGTATTTGTATATATTTTAAAGTTCCCTGCCTCAAAAACTTATAAATATATAAGTTGTAACAACCATGCTTAAATCTTGAGAGCAATGTAATCATACAAGGACAGCTCGAGGTGAATAACAAAAAAAAAAAAAAAAACAACTATGAACGAGTGGCTTCTTCTGCCAAAAAAAAAAACAATCACAACAAATGTTTGTGTTTATTTGACATTTTTTCAACAAAAAAACTAAAAACGCGAAAAATGAATGAAAGGTTATGGTTTCTTCCCAAAATCCAGTACGGAATACCATCAAATGTTTGTTTCATCCATAACAAAGTAATTACTTCCAGACGAACTTGTTAGAAACATAATTTTCATTTCAATTGAATTTGAATATATTCAAGTTTATTTTGAATGTATTTGACATAGTATTCAAAACAATACACACACATACACAAAATATGTATTTTGGGACAAAAATCGATTTTTTTAATAGTGATTGAAGAGTTTGCCATACACTAGTCAATCTCACATGTACACAAAGGGGTTCATCGGCATGACGGCATGATTTATAGTGTATGGGGCCATTAACATTTTATGGAATTTATTTTTCATTTAATTTGAAATCGATATATAAATTCCATATTAAAAAGGGTTCCCATTATTAATTTCTCAAATGAGACTACCTTGTATAGTTATGCCATTTGTTCAGCTTTATGGCCCCCACACACTATACTGCCGTACAGCTACTGCCGATGAACCCCTGTGTACATGTGTGATTGAAGATGTTTTACAGCGTATATGGTAAGTATATATTATATTTCATCATGTTTTGAAAAAAATACACTTTAAATAGATGATGGTTTAAAGATTGTCACATAAATACGTGAGAAGCTAAACACACTAAAAAACATTCATTTGTTTTTCTTGAACAATATTTTTATAAATATAATTTTAAATAAACTAACATATAAACTATATATAATTATATGATCACTCCACATCTCCATAAATACAACCCTGTTTATTTATGAAAATATGGCAACTCCGTTGATTGTTTTGGTTTTTGCGCGCCAATAACGCGTCGTTTCGGTGGTAAACAGCGTTGCAGCCAAGGCAGCTGCACAATTTTTTGCCTTTTCCAGTTTTTGGTGTGAAATAAAAATTATTTAAACGCTAGCAGCGCAGCAGTAAACAACAGCTACAATTTAAACAAACCTTCATTACAGTGTTCAATTATAATTCGGTTTTAAGTGTTAACTATTAAATAAAGCAATATAATGGCCAGACGTGACTATGCCCAAGACAAAGGTAAATTGTGGTGACCGAGAAATTTTTGGCAAATGTTTTTAATATCTTTTGTTTACTGATTTTAGAGGCCATCAAGGCTTTCCTCGGTGAATTTTGCAAACAGGATGACGAGGGCAAAAAGGATTTCGTGTATGCCCAACAATTGGTGAAAATAGCACATCGCGAACAAGTTTTGTTGACCATAGACTTGGATCATCTGGCGGAATTTAATGAAGGTTTGGCTGAGGCTGTTGTAAGCAATAGCAGACGCTATGCTAACCTTTTCAGTGATGTTGTTGCGGAAATGTTGCCCAACTTTAAGGAGCGTGAAATACATGCAAAAGATGCTTTGGATGTATACATAGAACATCGTTTGTTAATGGAATCGCGTACACGCAATCAAATGGAACAACATGATCAACGGAATCATTTCCCGCCAGAGTTAATGAAGAGATTGTGAGTTCTTTAAAAAAATTTTCGTAATTCATATTTTCTTGTACTAAATCTAATTATCTTTCTTTTACTAAATCTTTTAATATTGCAGTGAAGTTGGTTTCAAGCCTCAATCCAATGTAAAGGCCCATTCGATTCGTGAAATTAAAGCTGAACATATTGGTAAATTGGTTACAGTGCGTGGTATAGTTACGCGTTGTACAGAAGTTAAACCGATGATGGTTGTTGCCACATATACTTGCGATCGCTGTGGTTCGGAAACATATCAACCCGTCAATTCATTGTCGTTTACGCCTATAAGCGATTGTCCTTCGGATGATTGTCGTGTAAACAAAGCCGGTGGTCGGCTTTATTTACAAACGCGTGGTTCGAAATTTGTAAAATTCCAGGAAATTAAGATCCAGGAACACAGCGATCAAGTTCCCGTCGGTCATATTCCACGAACAATGACTATTATGTGCCGCGGAGAGGTTACTCGTATGGCACAGCCAGGTGATCACGTTTTAATATCTGGTACTTTCTTGCCGTTAATGCGTACCGGTTTCCAGCAAGTTATACAGGGACTTTTATCGGAGACCTTTTTGCAGGCTTATGTAAGTACATATTGGTATTTAATAAATGGTTGAAAAAAGACTCCAAGGTCATACACAGACATTTTTCAAAATGACGTTGTGATAAAAGAGGAAGGAATGAAGTATATTTCATGTTTGTTCTACATTTGTTACAAATGCTTCCATGAAAATTAAATACGACCATCGAATTCATCCTCATAAAATCAAATCAATTATATAATTAAATAATAAAAACCCTATTATTTTTTTCAGCGCATCGTTTGCATCAACAAAAACGACGAAATATCTGACAAAGATTCCGAATTGACTCCTGAAGAGTTGAACGAATTGGCCCAGGATGATTTCTATGAGCGGCTGGCTACAAGTTTGGCGCCAGAAATCTATGGTCATTTGGACGTCAAGAAAGCCTTATTGCTTCTTTTGGTTGGCGGTGTCGACAAACGACCAGACGGAATGAAAATCAGAGGCAACATTAATATTTGCCTAATGGGTGATCCTGGTGTAGCCAAGTCACAGTTGTTGGGCTACATAAGTCGTTTAGCTATTCGATCCCAATACACCACTGGCAGAGGTTCATCTGGTGTTGGTTTGACTGCAGCTGTTATGAAAGATCCCTTAACCGGTGAAATGACTTTGGAAGGTGGTGCACTGGTCTTGGCTGATCAAGGTGTTTGTTGCATTGATGAATTTGATAAAATGGCTGAAGCTGATCGTACTGCAATTCACGAAGTCATGGAACAACAGACCATATCAATTGCTAAAGCTGGTATTATGACAACACTTAATGCTAGAGTCTCAATTTTAGCAGCAGCCAATCCTGCATTTGGTCGTTACAATCCCCGTCGTACAGTTGAACAAAATATCCAACTGCCAGCAGCTTTACTGTCACGTTTTGATCTATTATGGCTTATACAGGATAAACCAGATCGTGATAATGATTTACGTTTGGCTAAGCATATCACTTATGTGCACAGTCATTCGAAACAACCGCCCACTCGTGTAAAGGCATTGGACATGAATCTTATGCGTCGTTATATCAATTTGTGCAAACGCAAAAACCCCACCATTCCGGATGAGTTGACAGATTACATTGTAGGAGCCTATGTTGAGCTCAGACGCGAAGCTCGCACTCAGAAAGATATGACTTTCACATCGGCTCGTAATCTTTTGGGTATATTACGTTTATCGACAGCATTGGCACGTTTGCGTTTATCCGATAAGGTAGAAAAAGACGATGTTGCTGAGGCATTACGTTTGTTGGAAATGTCGAAAGATTCACTCAATCAAATACATGAACACCAAAAGGGACAGTAAGTTATAAAAACATTTTATGCATAAGAAAGATTATAATTGATGTTTTTATTTTTTAGCGTTCCCAACACCTCCGATAAAATCTTTGCTGTTGTTCGTGAGTTGGCTGGCAGTAACAATACCGTTAAAATTGCTGATGTTATGGATCGTTGCACAACCAAAGGTTTTAAACCCGATCAAGTGGACAAATGCATTGAAGATTACGAAGAACTTAATGTTTGGCAGGTCAATATGGCTCGTACGAAAATCACGTTTATGTAAATGCCAAATTGTCTATTTGGAGTGTGGTTCTACTCACTCGAATATTTGTTCTTAAAAATGTATCTAGATTTAAGTGATTGTTTTGAAGCGTATATTTTCTTTTAATAAAATCAAACGATTTGATAACCATAAGTCAATTATAATTATTTTTATTCAGTAGTCTTTGATTATTACAAGATTATTCAGGTTTGTAATTAGAATTTTTCTCCCATGGGTTTGATGGTAATGTTATGGACCTAAAGTAAAAAGGTGATTCTATACAAATATTCATTTTAAACAACTCGATATAAATACCTGCACATTTGGAGGGGTTTCCAATGCCCATAACACAGCATCAGCAACTTCTTCTGACTTTAACATTGGCATAAACTGTTTAACCACTGTTTGAATTTCAGTTGGCAGAATATCTGTGTTAACTATACCAGGGCTAATGGTCTATGAATGGAAAGATAATGGGTACATTTTTTAAATGAATGTGTATTGTATACTTACAGTTATCCGTACTTGGGTTTTACGCCTTTGAAATTCCTGGCGATAAATTTCATTCATTGCTCTGAGAGCAAATTTAGTAGCGGGATAAACATTTAATGACGGCAAATCGGGTCCCAAATTCGGAACCTAAATGTTTTTAGCATTTACAAACTATAGAAATTGAATTTGGAATATGTGTACCAAATTACCTGCATTCCAGCAACACTATTAACAATTATAATGTGTCCATTGCCTTGCTTTTGAGTTCTCATGGAATGAAAGGCTTCTCGTGTACAAAACACCGTTCCCAATAAATTAGTATCAATGGTATCACGTATTTGTTCGGTATTATTGCGATCGGATAAAAGTGCAGTTGCTATAATTCCAGCATTGTTAACAAGAACATCACATCCGCCCAATTCATTTTGTATCCATTCAAAAGTTCGGCTTACGTCTTCCTCCTTGGTTACATCACAATGACGAGCGTGTAGATTTTTCTGAATTGTGGTAGGAAGTTCATTTTTAAGTTTTTCTATACGTTCCTGTCGTCGAGCTAATCCAACAACAATCATACCCGCTGAAGCCAATGCTTTACAGCAGGCTGCGCCAATTCCAGCACTAGCACCGCTAACAACTGCTACCTTGTTGCACCAACGTTCCATATCAAAATACTGGCAAATGAATAATGAGTATAGCTAGTGAAGCTATCGAAGAAACCATAGAAATGTTTAGACAAGAGAAAAAGGTGGATAAATGTAGGGCAAATGAGTACACCTTACAATTGGTATCGTTAGAATTATGAATAGAGAGGCAATACATTTATATGTATGTCAACATATAGTGGTGACATCACAGCATGTCCATTGGAAAATAAACACGTAAAGCATAGAAGTTTTATTGGGGACTCACAGAAATTAGAATCTAGAACTGCACAAGTGGAGCGGTCACTCGGGTTTTACACACGTTCCAACATTTCGTTAACATCTTTTTTCTTGACATCCTACATTGTGTTTTCCTCGAGAGTGACTTAACCGTTGCTCTGTTAATCTGGTTCCGTATGTTTTATCATCTTCTTGATGTTGTTCGAGAGTGAGTTAATCGATGCTCAATATTGAATTTCATATGGGAAGGAAAGTACGACTTCGGAGATACAAAATCGGAGCTAGTGTTCTTTCATAATTGTATGTTTAATTTTTTGGTAAAAAAACTATACCCCATTGGACATGTCGCAAAATTATTGGTTTGCCCTCGTATCTCTTTTAATTTTAAAATAAAAATTCTGTTTTTTTCAATAGCCCAGTGTGATATAAAGTGATACCTACCAAATACGACACTGTAGTTGTTTACAAATACCAATCATATGTTCGAGTCAAAATGTGTTGCTAGAAATACATCGTAATTCCACAGATTTTCCGGCATTGATTGAAATTAAAATTAGTAAAGTGAATTATCAATTAAAACCAACAAAACTCAGCAGAATATGTTTTGCAGAATATTGGCATACACTGCTGCTAGAAATTTGTATAAGTTTCCCGGACAAATTTTCGTGACGCAACAACATGCGGTAGCCGCTAGGGTAAATGCATCCTCCTATGGTGTACGACTTTTGCACGTTAAGGTCTACGATAAAGATTTGGAGGTACAAAGAGAAGCAAATCGTAGAAGACAACATTTAGAGGAACCTAATGAAAAGTTCGAAACTTTCGCAGAGAATGCTACACAATCAGAATTAAAATTTGCAAAATCTCACCAAAGTTCATCCACGATAGATGACAAAGAAATTGCCATTGATCCAGATGTATTTGGAAATGCACCAAAGGAGCCATTGCCAGAAGATGAAGGTATGTTGCCACTGCGTACAAGGAGACAGTTGTTTGAATGTTTATTTTCTTTTTAGGTGACAAAGCCGAGGAGGAGTATATTAGCCGACCAACAAGACGATCTAAGAAGCTGCGAACCAAAGAATATGCCGCTATGATAAAGGAACATTTAAAAAATCATCGCGTCAAGGATGCCTTGGAAGTTCTAGAGGTTCGAATGCTTAAAGAGGACCGTGTAAAGCCTGAAAATTATATTTATAATTTACTTATAAGTGGTTGTGCCAAGGCAGGTTACACCAGAAAAGCCTTTCAACTTTATACCAAAATGCGTCAACGTGGTTTGAAAGTAAAAGAGAGTACCTATACGTCTCTCTTTAATGCCTGTGCTAATGCTCCTTCCCGCCTCGATGGGCTGACAACAGCAAACCGGTTACGGGAGAAGCTTTTGGAAAAGGGGTACGAACCAAATGTCAAGAATTATAATGCCATGTTGAAGGCATTTGGTCGATGGGGAGATATAGAAACGGTATACCTATTGGCTGATGAAATGGTGGACAAAAAACTGGAGATGAATGGCGAAACATACAATTTCCTGTTGCAAGCATGTGCCAGTGATACAAAAATGGGATTTCGGTAAGATTCATCTACCAATTTCTATATATGTACCTCTAATTTACTTTATATATGTTTAGGCACTGTCTTCTGACATGGCACAAAATGTTACGAAAAGGTATCCAACCGGATTATTATTCATTTAATGCTGTATTGCGTTGCGCACGAGACTGTGGATTTGGTGAATTGGATTCCATGGAAGAGGCATTGAAGGGAATTTTGGAAGGAAGCCAACAACCTATTAAAATATCTTCTTCTACGACACATGCACCCCAATTAGAAAGTGGTGATTGTTCTCAAAATAATGCCAAATCAACTCCAAATGATTTGGTTAATGAAAACATTGCTCCCAGAACATTACAAATTCAAACAGAAGCTACATCTTTGGAATTACCAAATTTGTTAGCTCCACAACCACATTTGGGCAGTATGGTTTCGTTGGCCGAAGTGCAAAAACCGCACGAAAGATTTCTCCTTTTGGGTGGTCTACAAGGTTTTCTCGAACTGATGAAGTCGTATCATATAACACCGGATATTGAAACATTCACCACCATGTTGGAAGTAATACCGCCCACAAATACCGCAGAAAAACAATTGCTGACCTATATACGAAAAATTGGCCTTAAGGCAGATATTGATTTCTTTAATATATTGATTAAGAAGAGGGCAATGCGTTTCGATTACGAAGGTGGAAAAGAGGTATTATCAATGATTCGTACTGCTGGACTATATCCTGATATTGTTACCTATGGAGTGTTGGCATTGGGTTGTACCACAGTCGAAAGTTCAAGGGAATTGTTACAGAAAATGCAACAAAACAATATTAGGTTTGTATTGATTAATCAATGAAGAATGATATATGTATATATTTTTAACACATGTTATTTACACAATTCAGAATGAATATGCAAATTTTGGGTGCTATGCTACGCCAAGGCTGTGCCAAAAAAGATTTTTCTTATATTTGTGAAATTATACAAATAAGTTTGGATGAGAACATAAAGCCGAACGATATATTCCTTAGACATTTACATAAATTCCATTTGGATTGTGCACGGGCCATTGATGCAAGAGTAAGTTTTTAATCAATTTTTTTATGTAATGTTATACTTAAACGATATATATGTATTTTTTTCTTTTAATAGCACCCTACCACAAAAACCCAACTCTATAAAAAAAGCCACAAGAAATTCTGTGATAAATATCGTCTTTACCTTGAAGAACATAGTTTGGCCAATCTAAAACTAGACGATCAAATAAAGAAAATAAGAGAACGCCCTTATGAACACTATAAAGAAACTCCTGTCGATGGTATGGAGCCTTTGAAGAATGAAAAATTGGCTAGCAAACAAAAATTGCGTAAATATATAAAGAAAATAAAAATACAACACCTTAAAGGCGACGAAGATGATACCCCACAACTAGAAAGTGTGCAAGAGGATTCCACGCAAAAATCTATTGATAAGCCCAAAGTAACGAATGTAAATAACCCCTTCAGAGTAACATAGATTAATAACAAAGACGTTATTTATTGTTAAACAAAGTAATACGATTTCTTTTTTTACTATATATAAAAATAAATCTTAGCCAATCATTGTCCGCTTACGACCTCTGGCACGAACTTCTTCAAATTTGGCAACAACAGACTGTTCATCTTTTCCACATTCTTTTCGGTAGGCCTGAAGTATCTGTTCAAATAGATAGGGCTGTTCGCTGTGTGTACTAAGCAGTGCCCTTTCCAGTACATACAAATCGACACCTTTGTCCTCTGTACCTTGATTATAATGGCTAAGGCCAAAATCTATGAACACAATATCATATGAATCAAAGTTGTCCGAACCATCCTTAGGATTGATGAGAATATTTGAGGTTGTCAAATCACCATGAATAATATTATTGGCGTGCATTTTACCAATAATGCTACCAATCGATGAACACAAAGTTTTTAAGATTTCCTCAACATTGACATCCTTTTTCACGACATTATGTATATATTGCTTAGCTGTGATTGCTTTGTCAAAGTACTCCATGTACAGTTTACGTTCTCCCAAATCCATATGAAGGATTCGAGGTGCTAGAATTCCCGCTGTTTGGCATCTTGTTGCCGCCTTGGTTTCAGCTTTCATGCGTTGCCTGGTGATCTGGGTATCAAGTTCATGATGACGATACTTCTTAACGAAACGTTCCTTTATAAGACATCGTTCTCCTTTGAATTCACCCAAGTATAGACGTCCTTCGGCTCCTTGTTTAAGAATTTCGGCTGGCATTTCGAATCCTTTTGTATTGTGTTGAGAAAACTGGTATGAACGTGATTTAAAAACAGCTGATTGTAACTTCAATACAAACTGGAAGCAATATTAGGTCTGTTCGAGCACCTTTTGAGCAAATAAATAATAACTACTTTCCAGAACCTGCAATGAGTGGTTTATGTTAATATTTTGCTAGATACCGAAAATTAGAAACAAATATAATTTGTATTTTCTACTATTTAAGGGATGGTAAATGAATACCAATGTTTGTTAGGGTTTGTAACTTTGCACATATATAAAAAAATAAAAAATTAATAAAGAAGAAAAATAATTTACAGAAAGTTTTTGTTATTGTTTTTTTGTCATTAAAGAAAAGCCCTAATTTTTGGCTGGCTTTTCGGGCATGATAACTTCTCATTGGAACATCGGAATCCGAAAATTTCAACGATGTTAGAAAGAGTACATATCTGGCTCTCGTATGATTATTGATTTCGCTCAAATATTACAAAAGGGCGAACGTTTGAAAAAGGTTTTTTGGAAAATCTCCTATTTCTGACCAAAAACTATGTTAAAAAATAAGGAAGATATTCTCCGATTGGATTTATCCTAGTTCATACGATAGCTATACTCTCACAGAGAAACGTGTCAAAATTTAAGTTATAGTGTCCGCCATTCGTAAAAACACTGTTTCGAGAAAAACGCGTTTATTGTTTGAGAAGCACCTCAGCCGTCGCTTGATGCTGACGCAATAAATCGGCTATATCTCGAAAAGTTGTTGAGATTTTCACTTGACATTTTATAGGGGCGTTCTTGAATTAGTGTTGGTTGGATTCAAATTAAAAAAAAAGAAAATTAAATTTTTTGAAACTGAGAATGGGCTGGGATTAAATAGTAACCAATGGGTTCTTTTGTTGAAAATAGAAACAAAACGTAAAATTTTCAATATAAATGTGAAATGTTTTAAAACATTTTATAATTTTTTTAATTTTGTTCCACGGTTTTTTAGTTCGCAAAGAGATATGGATTCGACGTATTTGGGTAATATGCTCGTAACATTTTGCCATAGTGGAGAAGTTGAATATTTTTGATAGTGTTTTTGCTAATTGAATAATTACCTTCTATGTTCCCGTAAGTAAGTAAATAAATGTTACATTTACGAATATTGTACTGTACAGTATTTAATTTATTTTACGTGTATACCTATACAATACACGACAAATTACCATTATAATATTACCTAATTGATGTACCTTATTAAATCTTCCTTTGTCGAATAGACAGAAATAGACTTATATATCTCTACACTGGATATCAGCTGATCATTGTATTTGTTTATCTGTTCTTCAATAGTGAATCATCAGGCTAAAGGCTGTCATTTGAACAAACAGTCGTAAAACATAAAGAACAATAGGAAAAATGTCGGATTTATTTAATAATCTTTTTGGTAAAAAACCCACACTAAAGGAACAACAACGAGAAAATGATCGAAACCTGAGAAAGGCTACGCGAGACATTGAGCGGGAACGGCGTAAATTGGAAGAAGAAGAAAAGAAACTTGAACAGGAAATTAAGAAGAATGCAGCACAGGGAAACAAGGATGCTTGCCGGATTTTGGCAAAACAATTGGTCGAAATTCGGAAACAAAAAGCACGAACATATGCTGCCAACAGTAAAATCACATCCATTGGCTATCAGAACAAGAATATGGGTACCAATGTGGCACTGAGCGAAGCCATGAGTACAACCGCTCAGACAATGTCCAATATGAATAAAATAATGAAACCTGAGGCCATTGCGGCCAATGTGAGAAACTTCCAGCAGGCCAATATGAAAATGGAAATGACCGATGAAATGATAAACGACACACTGGATGATATGCTCAACGAATCGGGAGATGAGGAAGAGTCCAATGCCATTGTTAATCAAGTTCTGGATGAAATTGGAATTGAAATATCTGGCAAAATGTCCAATATACCATCGACGGGATCTGCAGAATTGGAAGATCAACGTACTGATAAAGACATTGCTGCACAATTGGCTAAATTACGATCAACATAGACGCCCAGTTATTTCCACTTTTTGTTATATCTATTAATTGTATTTACGAATTAATGTATTATGTTTCTATTTTATTGCTTTAAGATATTGTTTTATTATTATAATTATTCCAAACAAATATATTAACAGACAAATTAGTTTTCCATTTTATATACAAAAAAGATTGCAACATTTTCTTACAAACGAGCAGACATACCGCCAGTGGCCAAAATAGTTTCGCCTGTAATGTAACTGGCATCATCCGACACCAAAAATGAAACAACACCAGCCATTTCTTCGGGCATACCCAAACGTCCCATGGGAATTCTCGACAATGCTTCTGCGTTAGCTGATTCGTCTTCATAAAGCTAAAGTGAGATATTCGATAATTATAAATGGGTAAATATTCGGTAATTATAATGGGTAAACTTACGGCTTTGGAGAATTTAGTCTTTATAATACCGGGAGCTAAACAGTTAACCCGAATACCTTCTGGGGCTAAATCTTTAGCAGCTGCTTTAGTCAAACCAATCAATGCCGTCTTGCTGACTGAGTATGCACCCAAGAGCTAGAAATGAAAATAAAAAATATTGATTTCCATTTGATATTTTGGGTTCTGAAATTGCTTAATTTATATACAAATGTAAATTTGTTAACAATTTTGGTTCCAATTTGATGTAAAGATCATGAAGAAAACGTTTTATATCATTGTTAGCGGTTATTTTCGAAACGATTGTCATAATTCAAACCGAAAGCGGAATATTTTTGTAAAATATATCCTCCTTCTATTATGAATCCTTGAGTGTATTTTTCGTCCTTTTTTTAACTGTGAAAAATAAATTTGTGATCCGCCAAAAATGTCGCTTATTAGAATTTTTGCATAATCAAATACAATAAATCGAGATTCGTATGATTTAATTGTCCATTTGCACTTTTACCCGACCCTTGCTCAGGAAACACTAACTCTAACTCATAACGGATTTTCAGATAAAAAAAAAATGATTTTTGTACCGGTTTTAATAAATGTCGATGCTCCGCCAATTTTGTGTATTTGTATTTATCCGCATTTTCCAACCGATGTGGCTCTAATTTGGCATTCCGAGTTTTTGGTGTTCGATATGTTCAGGGCCCTAGTTAAAATTTCATCCTGAGTTTCAAACGAAAGTTACAGTATATGTACAATATTTACGATTAAAACCGTTCAAGCAGCCAGTATTACTCATGATTTCGAAACTGTATATTCGGTACTGTATCTATTAAAATTTCGTTACTAAAAACAAAAAATAAATTTGATAATACTGTTGGCATTGAAAGAAACATCGATTGACCAGTGATTTTCAAAGTAACCTCATATTTTTGTATGGGTATTTAATTATAAATGATTATCAAAACCCCCATTGTCAGATAAGAAATAAATAATATTGATCTTTATACTTACGGCAAAAGCGTCGTATCCGGCAACGGACGAAACAAATACAATGCTGGAATTCTTTTCTTTACGCAAAAATGGCAATGCTTCTTTGGCCAATAGAAATGAAGATTTTACGTTGACATCGAAAATTTTATCCCAGACTTTTTCGTCACACTCCAAAACACCGCCGACAGCTGGATTTGTGGCAGCATTCGATACCAAGATATTAATTTTACCATATTTCTTTATGGTTTCTTCGAACAATTGTTTGCGATCTTGTGTCTCGGAGACGTGACACTTCAAGCCCAAGACATGTAAGTTTTCTTGGCGCAACTCTTCCACGGCCTTGTCCACATTTTGCTGTTTACGGCTGCTAATGACCACATCGGCACCATCTTGAGCTAAACGTTTGGCAATAGCAAATCCAATGCTAGAATTAGAATTATATTCTTTATTAACTTTCAAAAAATACATTTACGATGTAACTTTCTTACCCATCAGTTGAGGCAGTTACAATAGCAACTTTTCCCTGTAAGCGTTTCATGTTTTCACCTGTTACAGTGCTAGTCGACAAATAACGATTATTATTAGTGTTGAGACAAACGTTTGTCGTTATAGTTAGTTGTTGATTAGCAGCAGATTTGTTGTAGATACCCAACGTTGTGGGAACTTTGAACCCTCTGTTGTGATCCAACGATGACGTTGTGCTTTTGTTATATACAAGGGTTTTTGGCAACTGTTTGATAACTCGAAACATATTAATATTCAGTTATGTGTTATATGATAAAGTTAAAAACTAATAAATGCAAATATATGTTTCTGGAGTTTAAATACAAGTTTTTGTTCTTTGTTTAAATGGGAGGCTAAATGTGGGCAAAACAGCTGATACAAATAGCCGGTAAGTATTCATGTGTGGTTGATAGCATATCATTTATATAGATGGGGTCGAGCTATTTTAATAATTTTTATATCAGTCCATAGTCTGCCCCGATAATTCGATTTAATTTTTGTTTTTAAGCCAAAATATTTGGCGACAATTTAAGATTTATTTATATTTATTCACCCTTATTACGTGTCGAAGATTGGACACTGTTGTATTTATATGACAAATCAGTATTATGAAAATAGCCAAGTTTGTCGTTCAAAATTCTTTTGATAGCATAAAAAAATATAAAAATATTTTTAATATAGCATTTTAACAATATTTACTGATTAACTGCTACATTTTTATTTATTTTATTGCACTTCTCAATATTCATAAGATTGGAACATTTATATTGGGATAAGTCAAAAAAATAACCTATATATCAGACATGCTATATATATAACGTTTTGCAAAGAGTTTTTTGGAGTTGAATGTATAAAATCAAAACACACACTACATACAATTTTTGTAATTATATTTGTTTACAAAATTTTCAAAATTTCTGGCCACTGATCCTCATCAGTTTTTGCTTCTTTACAAAAAAACCTTTCATACCCAAATGTCTCTTGTAAAAAAAACGGGAGTACTTACGTTACCAGCGATACCACCTCAATGAGAAGTTTCCTTGCCTTACCGCTCGGCGGACAGTTCCCCACTAATAAATAGTTATTTTGTTTTATAAAAACAACAAACTGGGATCCAGCCTGACTATTTTGCAAAAACAAGATACAACACTACTGATTTTTTAAAGAAACATGAATTATCGCGTTTAATTATCGTGTTGAAATTACCTCATTGATAAAATTTTGGCTGAATAAATGTACTTAGCTCGATGCAATTTTACACAGAGACAGGTTTAAATATTATTCAAGGTATTTTTCATATTTGATTATAGGATTTTTTTAGTTATTTAAAGTTATACAATATACAACAGATGCCGACTATTGGCTGTTGTATATACAACATATGCCGACTATTGGCTGTTGTATATACAACAGATGCCGACTATTGGTACATGCCGACATTAGGAACACTTACCCTACTAATCTTTGAATACTCAACGCAATATCCAATGAGATGTTGGATTTATTGCTACACTGCAGTACATAGTATTGTGTATTTATCGATTTGATTGTAACGAGCAAAAGGTAACAAGACTGGTCTATAATTACTATGGAATAGAATATAGATTCAAAACACTGTTAGTAAATGTCGGTCGATATCTTTTTGTAATATGTGTCACACATATTTATTATTGACCTTTAGCCTTTTTATAGAAAATATTTATATAATATAATATTTATAAATAAATAAAATGAGTGTTTTTATACTGGAAAAGTTACATATTCAACTTAAAATGTTTAGAATTCTTAGTTCTTGTCGAAAATATAGTCATGAAAAACTAGGTAACATCTAAATCAGGATCAATAATTTATATATTAAAATATCCATTTCGTTTAAAAATTATAGTTATTATCTTCGTCATCATTTATTTCTCTTATCTAGTCAGTTATTTATCTCATTATGTTGCTCAATTCAGGCTCTCTAAAAATTTGAAATGAAAACGTTTTTTCTTTACATGCAATATTTGTTTTTTATTTCATAGAACAATAATTAAACCTCGGAAGGGTATAAAATTATTCTACCCAGCCGAAAATAACACTATTTTTAATTCATTACTAGTTTTCCTTTTTTATTGTAGGTGCGAATTACTAGAGCAATCATAACAACCTGTAGTGGTAAGATTTGCATGAGCATCACAGTCATCGTTTCAATATGATTGCTGCTGTTGTTGTTGTGTAAATTAATAGCAGATGATACGAAGATAATTTTTCCGAAAACTAAAGTTTTAAATTTTCATTATCGTGTTTTCTCCAAATGTATATTGCAAATCACAGCGCCAGTAAACTTGAGATCGTCATAGTGTTTGCACGATTCGTTGTGTTAATATCTAAAATATCTAGCTACCTTAAAGTACACACATACTATCTATCATCATCCCGACATTGGGTCTGCCGTATTGTCGTATTTGGTAGCAAGCATTCGTGTCGGTAGTCAAATGCTAGTTAAAGGTCTTAAAAATATCTACGCATAGCATGTGATGGGAAAAATTTGTTAATAAACTGCATACACAGCGACTGTGTACCGATACCCCACTCACACACATACTCAGCTATAGACATACTTATTTAATAAATAAATAATAAATAAGTTCTTTTAATACCATTTATCTTGAGTGACAAACTAAAAAAAAAGTGAGAAAATTTACGCTTAACAAATTAGTACGAAGAGAAAAACTCGACTAGACAGTGCAGTGTAATTACCGTTATACATTTGAAAAAAAAAACATAAAAAATATTACAACAACCACCTTGCTTGTAAGGTGGTAAAGTCGATTCAAAATGAGTGTAAATCCTAACGATCCCAATAACAACAATGGCAATAAAATCAAATCACTAAAGGATTTTAAAGCACCCCAATTCAAGGATGACGAATTGGTCGTCTATGTTCATCCCTATAACTTTCATTCCCAAAAAGTATGTTTAAACGATAACTAATGCAGTTGAAATATATTTAACGCAATGTTTGCATTTTGTCGTACAGTTAATTTAATTAAATTAAATAGACTATTTTGTATGTGTCTTATCATGTGATCTCAATGGTTAAAAACAAAGTTTGTTTTCGGCGAGATCAAATTTACGTTTATGCGTTTGTGTGGGTTAAGTAGTTGTATATTAGGGTGTATAGAATTGAAAATAATGGTAAAATATTTTATTAAGGTAAAAAATGTGTGTAATCATTAAAATATGTTTATATTGTGAGATTTTGCTATGCCTTTATCTAAAATAGTAACATGTGTAATTAGCGCAGCAAAAAAAAAAAAAAAATTAGGGGATTCTCAATTTCAAACTTCGACTATCAATTAGTTATAACTTTGCATATATGTATTTAAAGACTAAAAGAAGATGAAAATAAATTGATAAAAAATCTGTTGTTGTTTTTTGTAATTAAAGAAATGCACTCTTTTCGACGGCGGGCATGATTGCCGATCACCGGAACACCCGAATCTCAAAATTCCAAAGCTGTTAGAAATACTGGTACTGGTATGTACTAGGATTATTGACTTCGCTCAAAAATTAGCAAAATAGCGGAACTAGGAATATAAACCCTTTTTCGGACTCTTACTCTATACAATATAACACCCGGCTGACACTTGAATCCAACCAGAACATTTTCATTTATAAATAAACAAGTAAAAAAGTGTCAGTAGGAGTTGCCCACAGATATATATCCTCAGCCAATGGTTTGCGGAGGTTTTATTATTCGCTTTATATGAGGTATATGTTTTTCCGATTTAATGTTAATCTAATCAGTTATTCAATTCGCCTTAAATTAAATTTACAATACATAAAATATTGAACGTTTGATCTAGGCTTGGTAAAGATATTAGTTGGTACAAAGTTTTATTTCAAATCTAACATTCTATTCGCCTGATATTGGATTTATAAATATGAAATATTTTCACCATTTGTGGAGAATGTACCGAAAAGAATGGGCGGATTGGTGGCATCTTCAGCCATGATATAGACTTGTTATAGATAATAGGTTGTGCAAAGTCTGGTTCAAATCGGGCATTCCATTCGCCTGATATTGGATTATAAGTCTTCGGACTTTAATTACGTTTGGAAGAAATATTACGATGTGCAAAGTTTGGATGGATGATTTTAGACCAGATTTTAATAAAACTAATTTGTATGCATTCAATTAATCATTCAATGATCGACAAAATACAAATCATCTTTCAGATATATCAGAAACAATATACTACATTATGTTCTTATTTTCCAACCATTTCAGGTTCTCTTATTGCTGTACGAGAAAAATATTGACTTTACACCCTATGTAGTGGATTTGCTGAATGGCGAACAATATTCCGAATGGTTCCTAAATTTAAATCCCAAAGCCGATGTGCCTGTATTACAGGATGGTTCCGTTGTCGTACCAGATTCGGTGCATATTATCAATTATGTTGAAAATAAATTCCATGGAGGTAGTACTCGACAATATCAATATATAATTATCATTCTTACAATTTATAAAGATTATTTTCATCATTACAGGCGATTATAAGACACTGAAACCTAAACGCGGCAATCCATTGGAGGATGAAAAAATTCAATTGTATGATCAAATATTGAATCGTTTACCAGTTGGAGCCTTAAGTTTGGGATCATTTATACATGATGATTTGAAATTGGTACCCAAGCCACCATTTATTGGACCAATTCGCAAGACATGTTTAAGTAATTATATACAATTTGTCTATGTACTTGTTATGTTAAATTTTTAATGTTTTTCTTTCTAGAAAATAACGAGAAGGTACATCAATTACTTAAAGAATCCATAGATCGGGCAGAGGACCACAAAATGGCCTTGCTGCGTAAATTGGATTTACAAGAACGTAGAAAACGTCTCGTCTATTCACGTTTAGAATATCAAAAGATTCTGGATGCCATTCAAAATGTATTGCGTTTCGTTGAAGATGACATGAATGCCAATAGCCACAGAGAATGGTTGGTGTCCAATGATTTCTGTATGATTGATGTATGCTTTGGTTTGCTATTGTTGCGCCTATATCAATTGGGCTTTGAAAACTATTACTGGTCCTACGGTAAACTGCCACGCGTTGAAAGTTATTTTTTGCGCTTTAAGAAACGCCCGTCGTACGATAAACTAATGCCCAGCAATTTTGAAATACTCAAGGACATTTGGCAAATGACTCCATCGAATTATATAATTGGCGCTGGAGCTGGTGTTTTGGGTATGGCTGTTTTTGCTGCATTTGCTCACAAATAAAAAAAGCAACAATTACAAATACAAACGTACACATTCACACGCAAACAAAATAAAACACACAAAAAAGTATTAATAAAAACTGAAACACATTTAAACGTGATTTAATTATTAACCATGTAATGAAACCAGTCTACACAAAAACTTTAAAGAAAGTAGGAAATAATGGTAAGGGTACAAAATGAAAAATAGAAATAATAAAAATAACTTACAAAAATATAATAACAATTATAATCATTACTACACATTCAAATATATATTGCACTAGTTTTGTTGTTGTCCTTATTGATATGTCATATCCCACAGCAGCCACATGGTACATATGTCATGATAATTAATATGTTTGAAATTTTTGTATCGTAGGAGTCATAAAAAATAGACAAACTTTAAACTTTATTACATTTATAAATGTTAGATATCAAAAACCATCAAATCATCTATCTAGCACCAGTTATTTTACATACAATTATATTGTATCATTATTTAAATTCGAAGAAATTTGAGAATTGTAATTTCCAGTTTTCGCACTTGTATACAAAGGCATTCCCATAAATTTTGGAATTTGATTTGGACTAGTTGTGTTGCCACCATTTCCACCTCTTGAACCGCTACTTGTGGTGGCTTTCGTTATACTGTTCGTGCGCTTAAAAACAAATGCATCTTTATTATCACGTTGATAAAAGAAATCGCCACTACCGGCTGGGTCGGGCAATACGGCCGATGAACGATACCAGAAACGATATGTAAAATACCATGTAAATATGGCAATAATACCGCTAATAAATTTCTCGATCATACGATGATAGTACAACATAGTGCCCACCAACATAACATCCCATAACAGCTGCAGAGCAGACATACCAATGAAAAGTATGCGAATCACTGGTGTCAAACGTTCATAAAGGAATTTTAAGTTTTTCATTTGTTCTTCACTCAGATTACGTAATGGATTTGTACTGGATGGTTCGGATATTGAACGATCATGTAGTTCATTGCGTAAATGTTCCTTAATCGATTCCCATTTTACTATGGGGCGAGCCTCTTCGATCAGCACCAGGCTGGAGTGTATTAATATGAACGCATGGCCAGATATATCAAAACCGCTCCACAAGTGACCAGCTTTCAGGCAGCTGGATTTTGTTTGGAAATCTAATAAAAAGAAACAAGTTATTTAATTGTGAAAGAAAATTTGTATTAATCTATATAATAATTGATCTGTTCCCGTACTGCAAGAATGTACTAGATTTTACTATCATAAAGGAAAAAAGTGTTATCGTAGTAAAAAATAGTAGATTCTTTTAGTACGGGAGCAGACCAAATAGTAAATAAAATATCCAATATCATTTTACATTATCGATTTTAATAGTAAAGAAAGTATTATAACTTATGATATTTAGCTAATTCTGAATTCAATTCTAAAAAATACTAAAACATACAAATTATTTAAAAGCTATTTCGGTTATAAAAGCCATGACTACGGAAGTCCTGATTTCGATGGACATTTTAAAAATAACGAGAATAGGGGTTCAATTTAGTTCTTAAAATTTTTTAAGCTCTCTAATCATAAGGGCAAAACTTATTCTAGAAACAGAAATTGTAGCATGGGCGGGCACAATTAGGTACACAATTAGACTTGAATGAATTTGGTTCCCAATGACACAACAACAACAATACTGATAGCACGGAGGAAATTTAATTTTATTTAAACTTTATCGATATAGAATTTTAAAATGATTTCTATCCTTATTCCATGAAACATATATATATATATATATATATATATTAGTTTTTGAAAACCATGTGAAAGATATTTTCCGATGTATATAATCCATTGAAGGACAAGCCTGTAGCTTCTTTTGCAATATTAAAATATATGAAATATGAATACAACAATTATTACAAAGGGAAGTATAATCTAATCAATTGTGATTACAATAAAAATTAATAAATTAAGTAAACGTAATATTTTTATAAAAATGATATTTGATTTGCAGATAAAATATATTAAATTCTTTATTATCTTAACCTTAGTAAATATGTTGACCAATGTACGTACATTCTATAAGAATTCATAACTTTTAATTTGAACAAAAATTTACATTCAAGGAGAACAGTTCATTTTAAAACCATTGTCGATCATTTGAAACGCAAGGGATAAGGGTCGTCTTTAATTATCATTTTCTTATCTAAATATATTTATTCTACCAATTTATGATTTATCACAAATGACTGAGATCAAGTTTACTTAAGGAGGGATATGATATATATATATATATATATATATAACACTTAATATTTAAATAAATCCCATTTATTCCCTTAAACATAAACTAAAATCTAATGAAACATTATTCACCAGTGCTAAGATAATTAGTTACTTTTTGTCAATACTCACTTCGTACAGTACATCTTCCATATGATGTTTCTATAATATTAAACAACTTTGTCCAGAAGAACCAAAAGAATGTGGCAATAACGATACGGGGGGCATGATGACGCAATAATTTCTTCATATCACCACAGCATAGAGTATACGATGTCATAAACAAGAATGGCACAGTAAACAACAGAGTCCAACCCCAACCGATTTTCACAAAGTAAACATTAAACAAATTATCCGATCGAGCAAAATACGTTTTAGGAAATGGTATAAAATCGCCAATCAATGAAACAATAAACAAACTGCCCAAATATAGGGCCACCTTTAAGTTGGTATCGAAGAATATGGTCTTTTTGCAGACATGCATGATCATCATAACGAATATTTCACGTATGCTGGTTGGGGCGGCTGTGGGTCGTGTTCCTTTCGCTTCCGACCGTAGAACATCTGGACCACCCGGCCGGAAATTCATATTCGGCTGGGGACGTATTGGTCTACGTTTTGTTGCCATTCTCCGTCTTTTCAAGCACTTTTTCTTCGACTGCCTGTTGTTGGCAGCAAGACAATTTTGAGAAATAAATTTGGCCAAAACTATTTACTTATGGTTGAGAAAAAGTGAAAGTGACATTTGTTGATGGCGAAGATGATCGTTTTGTGTCAAAGTTCACACAAAATACTGAAACTAGTGTTATTTTTTAGAATCGGCAAAAATTGAATTAATTCGTTGAATATTTGTTTGCATTTGTCATTCACAGTCGGTAGTTATTAAATATTCGTTTTTTCTTTTACACAATCGGTCTTTATTTCAATTCGATTTGATTTTCAATATTTATTATGAAAAAATTCCAAAATAGCTTAGGGCCTGTTGTAAAAATAAATATCATTTCACCTGCATATTTTATTTTGGGATATTCTGCTGTCATTTGAAGGGAAATTTCATAACATGTGATAAGGGTTGCCAGAGTTTCTCTTAAAAATCCAATAATTTCCAATGTCGTACGACAGATTAGTTGATCAGGTATTCAGTTTGTTAGTAAAATTGGAATACAAAATTAGATATTCTAACAAAATTAGAATACCACAATAATCCTACACCAACAACTTTAATGTAGAATGAATGAGGTAATCCTCAGTATCGTGTGTTCCTAGGTAGTTTTTCTTTTAACAAGCTTCCAATTTTCTGATTTCCAATTGGTGGTCATGGGAAAAAACTGGATTGGGAAATTTCAGTATAAAAATGTAAACCAAAAAAACTTTCTAACAACAAATTTGTATGTGGTTTTTGTTGTAGTAACTGAAATACCAATGTATTTGCTACTTCTGACTCCCCTGTATCCAAATTGTACGGCTCAAAAGAATAATTGCTTGGGTTTTATCGTCAGGAAACATCATCGTGAGTTGCCACATAACTCGAGCGAATATGGCCTTATTGACTAAGGACAGTTCAAGTATTACGTAAGAAATGAAGATAATAGGAAGTGGGGGGGGGAAGGATCATCGCTTCTAATACATCTGATTATGTAATACTTGAACGGCCCCAGGTCATGCGATTTGACAATTAAAAACCAACATTCGTCAAATTTCGGCTGTGATACCGGCCAATATGTGACAAATGGTAATTAATATGAAACGTGTGCCTTATGTACCACCCTGTAGTTTCGATAAAAATGTAGTCTCGTTAGTAACGTAGCTAATTTGTTTTTTTTTTTGGACCAACAGCTGTTTTGACCCGTCTACTTGCATGATTATTTAATAAATATTTGTAGTGTCAAGATTTAGTTGGAAATTTCATCAGGGTTTTTGAAACAAAACAATAAGCGAGAAAATGTTGGCATTACGTACTACCTTACGCTGTAATGCTGCAGCATCAAAATTAGTTCGGAATACTACAACATCCATCAAATTCCTTCAATTCAACACATCCAAATCATTGACAAATTGTGGCGTTCGGAATATAGCCACTCTTCATATGCCATCCCAACCAGCTTTGTTGAATGGTCAATTAATTCAAAGGAGACAGTATGCCACAAATACGAACAAGGATGATACGAACACAGAATCCCTACAACGTGTCTACTATGGTTCATTGGCACCCAGAATGAAAGCTGTAAAGTTTTTCTCTTTGACCACTAGTTTTGCCGGTCTTGCTGCCCAGCCAATATTAATGGAACAGGGTATGAAGTTAGGTGGCACGGGAATGGCTGTTTTCTTGTGTGGCTTTGCCGGATTCTTTACATTTGTAACACCCTTTCTGTTGCACTTCGTTACCAAGAAATATGTTACAGAGATCCATTATAATCCTCAGACGGATGAATACATAGCCACAACAATATCAATTATTTTGCAAAAAATTAAGGTAAACTAATGTCTTCAGTACGGGAATAGGGATTAATACATGATAACCTTTGTTTTCTTTTAGACCAAATTTAGGCCCAGTGATGTTAAAGTTCCCGAGGTACCTGGAATGTTTACCTCGTTCGTGGTGGACGGTAAACCTCTATTTGTGGACCCAGCCTTATTTGATGATCCAGAGCATTATGTTCGTATTATGGGCTATGATAAACCCATTGATTTTAAGCTAGAAACTACAAATATATCAAATGAAAGCGACAGTAATAAATTAAAGAAATAAATTGACACATATATATGTAAATCGTTTTGTTTGGTTATTTCTGAGAGCAGGCAGTACTTTCCAAATTGTTTGCTTATGTTTTTAGCAGCATGTGTTATAAACAGCTGTTTTACATGTGATTGTTAAAATGGTAGCCAGATGAGATAGAGTTTTCATAATTGTTGGAATTTAATTGATTTTCATCATAGAATAGTAATAATTTATACAAAGTTTCTCTCGTTTTTAGCAATTATCATAACACAATTTATTTTTCTTTAAAAGTTAATCAATAAATATTTGTTTAAAAGTGCCATTTTACCGGCATATACATGTGGCAACACTATTGCCACAATATCATTTGTAAATAAAAACAAAACATTTAGCACATTTTATTTATTTTTATTCATCATGACTGACGGTCTGAAGATAATCCTCGAATTCAGGTATTGTAAATCTTCGTTATTGTAAAGAATGTCTTATTGTTTTATTACTTTTCAACAGTGCTGGAGCTGAGCTGCTTTTCGATAATATCAAAAAACGTGAAATCACTCTGCCCTCAACAGAAAAATGTAAGACATCATTTTTAAAGCGTGGAATGCCATGAGTAATGTTTTTATTCCAGGGACTATACGTAGTTTATTGAAATGGATGAAAGAAAATATTTTGCGTGAAAGACCAGAATTATTTATTCAAGGGGATACTGTGTAAGTATATGTCAACATATTCAGCAAAGTAGGAAAATAAAAGGTATGTGGGAACTGTGTTCAGAATCATTGTTCAGGTACAAGTCTAAAATCCAAACATATATGTATATGTATATTACAACTATTTCTTGGATGGGATACATCGTTTTAAGTTTTGGTGTATTCTCCATATAAGGACGTGTGCTAAAAATATTTGCATACATTTTCAAAATAAGTCCCGCCGTGTTTTCGATATTTTAAAGGATTTTATCAAATCCAAACAATGTGGTTGTAATTTGGAATTCCGGATTTCGAAATATGGTAAAAAATTTTTGCAAAAATATATTTATTTAGCCCCATATAAAATCCAGCCTAATTTTCGACATTTTAATTTTTTTTCATTGAGGTTGCCCAAAATGTCTAACAACATTTTGGGTACTCGAAGGATGAAACGTCTCATAATTTGAAATTCCGTGCTATTGAAGAGTGAAAACCATATCTTCAGAAATATTTAATTAAGCAGACGCGTAAAACATCTGACCGTCTGCCCATTATAAATTGTAATCAATGTCCATGTCGGATTATTTATTTGTTTGTCAATGTATTTTACAAATTTATAAAATACTACTAATATAAAGGGAAAGATTAAGTTTACATACATGTTTTTCTTTTAAATATGTCGAGTTGTTGACCGACTATTTAACATTGTAAAATTATGAATATTTTTTATATTTCAGACGACCAGGAATTTTGGTATTAATAAACGATACCGATTGGGAATTACTGGTAAATAACTTAATTTTATTACTAAAAATTTCCTAATTTTCCTTTTACTATTTTACTAGGGTGAATTGGACTATGAATTGCAGCAAAAAGATAATGTTTTATTCATTTCTACATTACATGGAGGATAATCGGACTAAACAACGATATTTTGTATAATAATATTATAATAACAATTTTATATACAGTTTATGTTACTTCTGTAAATTTCCTACGTTTTAATAAATGTCTCACATAAGCCTAAAATAAATTAAAAACAAGGAAAAAGTCTACGGAAAAAGGTATATGCTTATATCAAATAATTTACCATCTTTGGACAGATACGAGAAGAGGTTACCTCATAGACCCCATCTTCGGATAAGATATGCAAACAATGAATTAGCATATGACGATGTTTAAAGTTTCGATGAAATTGGATATTCCGTTCGCTGCATATGAGATTAACATGTTTTAAAAAATTTGGCCCTTTATTATGGAGATCCAGCAAGGGGTGGACCGATGAATCCGACCGTCTTATATTACAGAAGCATGATAAAAATATAATATTTGCAGCAAAATGTTGACCATTTTGTGTGAGAGGTAACAGAAGGAGTGAACCAATGGGACCCATCTTCGAATTAGATTTATATTTGATAGAAATATAATGATGTGCGTAAAATCCGACATTCCATTAGATTAAAAACTGGATTTTTTGTTGACCCCATCGTGGGGGAGTTTTTAGATAGAATGGAAATAATTGTCCCCTCGTCGAACTTGATTAAGTTTTAGTAAAAATACGACGATGTTTGTAGAATTTGCGTCAAATCTGATATTCCATTCGCATAATATTTGATTAATAAAATTTGGTATTTTTGTCCCTTTTGTGGGGGAGGTACTATAAGGAATGCGCCAATAAGTCCCATCCTCCATCTTGGTAAAATTATTAGGTTGTGTAAAGTTTGGTTCAAATTGAATAATTCGTTCGCATGATATTACAAAATGAATTTTCAGCAAAAATTTGAACATTTTCTGTGAGAGCTACAAAAAGGAGTTGACGCATATTCCCCATCTTCTAACTTGATTTAACTTTGAAATATATATTACGATGTGCAAAGTTTAGATGAAAGCAATTACTCCCTTCGAGATTATCGTGCGCACCAGCCGGCCAGACAGAAATTTTTAAATGGACTACAAATTGTCTGAAACGGATTTGGCTCAAAGAAATATGAGGTTTAAAATCAATATTTTGATAAGGCACATATTTGCGTAGCAAAGTTTATATACCCTCATTAGCCATACCTCATTCTAGACTCAATCCAATACGGATATGCAAATTTCTTAAAAATCGAAAAATGGGGTCTACGTTTTTTACATTACAAAATTAAAAATAATAATAATTGATATTAAAAAAATCTTTGAACGTTTGGTTAAAGCTAACACAAAAAATGATTTAATATATTTATCGAACATACATAAGTTACATGAAAATTACTTGACTCCGACAAGTAGACTCCGATAGACACAGGGCCGCCAAAATCGACAAATACATTCTTTTTATTGTAAATTAAAATAGGATCAAAGATGAAAATTTTCAACAAATTTAATCCAAATCTATTATACTTGGGTTACATATAACCAGTCGTCTTTACCAAGGCCTATATAAGGTCAGCCAGGAAGCGAATTCATAGAGAAAACTTATGTTTAACGTCAATTTTTTTGCCTAGGCGAAAACTATTTGTCTTTAAATAAAAAAAAAACACAACAAAAATGTTCTTTAAAATCTTGAAATAGTCCAAATGTGCTTCACAAAGACGATATAAATTAAAATTAAATTGAATGTTGACATAATATTAATACATATTTTCGTTTTTACCTCTAACATAATTTTGTATGTATGTGTAGGTATCAAGTGTTCATGTGTCATGTAGACTACCTCACACATCTTATATTTAAGGAAAACCTTTGATATGTCTTCGTATATGTAGCACGCTTTCAAAAATAAAAAGATCTACTTAACGTTCGTGTAACAATTTTTTCTAACTCGTATGCAAAAAATTAATTTTATAGGAAATTACTAAGCAATTTTTTTTTGAAAAGTAAAAATACACCTCCAATATATGTTTGTTAAACATTTATTTTATTTGAGTCACCCAGTATATTCGTCGCAATATCAAATATATTGATCATCTGGCAATATTTAATAATATAGTTTGAAAATCATAGATAATTTTAGATCTCATTGCTTTCAATATGAGCGTTCATAATTCTCATATGCATTTTTGTCGTAATACGAAGTATATATACTTTGCGAAAGTCCAAATTGTGACATGGCGTTTGTATGAAGAAACATTTTTAACCCTTAATTTCTCGTGTGGGCCTTTGCCTTTGGTAAAGGGACGTAATTCTGATATAACGCCCAAAATTCATTTATTATGTTATTTTTAACTACATTTTGGATTCACTTTATTGTTCAATGAGAAAGCTGGAATAATAAAAATAAATTGATATTGAAACTATGGTATTCATTTCACTATCCCTCAAATTTATAACCCCAATACATAAAAAATACATATTTATTATGTATTATTAACTTTATTTGCAAATTTATTTATTATGTAGAAATTTCTTTTGTATATAAAACATTCGTTTAAAATTATAACTATATTTCGAATCGGATATATCGTATTTTGTTTGATTTTTCGAATATATAACTAGGGATCTATTGATGTAATTTACAAAAGTGTGAATTGAAATAAACAAAATCTTGTGATAAGAAATATATTAAGTAATAAATAACAAAAGTACACACACATGCATATTTAGAATATTTATAAACAATTATGAGAAATTAATAAATACATGATTTTATTGTTCATTGCTCTAACATTAAAATTAACAATTATCGTGTGTTATGACAATAAAATATATTGAAATGCTCAAGACAACAGAAAAAATATATATGTATATGAAACATATTCAAAATTTTAAACAAAAAATACGCTTATTTTATTTTAAAGCTATACTATAAATATTAGAGAAGTTTTAAATTGTTTCTTCGTATGAAAATTTACACGGTGCTATAAAATTGCTTATATTGAAAGTGTATGCTGTTTATTTAGATGACAAAAAGGCACTTGTATGGTCATATAAAATGGAGTTTCACATCAATAAAAAATACTCTAAACATGTGAGGTTATAGATTAAAAAAAAACTCTTTCTTCACTTTTTGTTCTGTGAAAATTTGAAATGAAATTTTTTTTACATTTTTAGTTTACATTTTCAGTGGACAAGAATTGAGTTGCTTTATTGTATTTGTAATCATTTATTCAAAACCAAATAAGTGTTTACGTATTTTTTAAAATATTATTTAAGTGAATGAATATTTTATTATTTTTAATATGAGTCAGTACTTTTGCAATTTATCAAGGACATGGTTGTGTTTTGAGTTTTTTTTTGTGTTAATTTGTGTTATTTTGTTTTTAGCACCGTGTTATTAATATAATTATAAACATATATTTTATGAATAGGTAATGAATATGGCTTAAATAAATATCTAAAGTTGTGACAGCTTTTAAGATACTTCATCATTGAAATCGCCATTTTTGGAATCCTTTGAGTATTGTTGCTGCTGATGTTGCTGATCGAGCTTCTTATTCATTGTAAATGTATGACATTTAAGGAGAAACTTATTACCAGCATTATTGTTGTTGTTGTTAACCGGTGAAACGACTAAGCCATCTGTTGGATTGGATGTCCATGTTGTTATTAAATCATTATTATCCTGATCTGGTGTCATGCATATATCAGACATAATACCACTTTCTGTAGCATATACAACGACACATAAAGGTAGATTAGAAATGTTAGTTTATATTTTGGTATCAATTTTTAAAAGAAGTTATATACACAAGATATTCAATGCCAAATTGAAAGAATGTAAATTTTCAAAGAAAAATTAATTTTTAGTATGAATTTTAATAAATTTCAATTTTATATACAATGTTTCAATTAAAAGAAAAAAATGTTTTAAAATATATTTTATTTACAGTTTACTTTTAATTTAACATTTTTTGTAGATAAATATTTAAAAATATATGTTAGTATCGAAGAACATAATTTAAATCAAATAAAATGAAACCCATAAAAGGGTTTCGAGAGGGCATTCTTTTTCAGAGGACTAACTATGTTGTACTTTAATATTGTGATGCACAGTTAATAGAAATCAATCTCTAATAAAATCAGTTGAAACGCCCTTCAGTGTGTAAAAAATCGGGCCTGACTAAAATGGCTTATTAAATTAAATCCCCTGGGGTATTATAAATCAATATCAGGAATCCGATGGATGAAAGAAAAGTTCACCCGTTTGTATTAAAAATGTGAAGTTCTTCTCTTGGATTACATATAGGCACAAAAAGTAGGTGAACCGGTAATTATCAAAATAAGCAAGTGAAAGAAGCGTTAAGTGGACCTATACCGACAGTTCTACAAACCGATTTATGTAAACAGTTATGTACACCAAATACTAATTTCAACGATTTTTAATCGGTATTTTTCATAAAATCTAAAAACCCCAAAACGTGAACCGATATTGATTATGCATGGTAGAGTGAAACATGTGTAGAAAATCCTCAAACTACTGCAAAGTTATATGAGGCTATGCCTAAAGGGGACCAAATTTGATTACATAGCTAGGAATTAGTGAATCTTTGGGGCTATCATAATATGAGGGGCTATGCCTAATTAATGACCGAAATAGTTTTGTATCTCAATATTTTTCTACAGAAGGTATCATTATATGGGGAGATGCCTAAATGCTGACCGATATGTTTCATCATTGTCAGGTTCGAGTTTTTTTTTATCACGATATCCTTAGAAGGCGGAATGATTACAGCAGATTGCTAAATCGTTATAGAACTCAATACTTTGTAGGGTAAAAACTGACAATTTCGAGTAACGAATATAACCCATACTATGATAGAATACGCGTATATTAGGACACATGGAACAAATCAAATAACTAAATAACCCTAAAAGGGGGTGAACATTAATAATTTTTGGTAAGTAGACTTGTTACCACATAAGACTACAAAATATCAAATTACTGCGAATTCGGTTGAAAAACGCGATCAAGAACCTCAAAATACAGAAAATTAGGGGTACCCTTATATGAGGGCTACCAGAAAATTTTACATATATTTATAATTTTTAGTGGAGAGGTTTGCTAACCAATAACAAATCAAAGTACTTAATTGCAGCCAATACGGTCGAAGAATACGATCACAACCCTCAAAATACTGAAAATTGGGTTTACCGTTATATGGGGGCTTCTTATACATTTTTGAAAGTGTCATATATACAGTAAAAATCTTGTAAAATATTTCTGAATAGTATAATACATTCTAGAAAACGCCACAAAAAGGAGCTTATATAATTATCTCGATCCCTTTTTGCTCCTCTGTATGTTGTAAACAATTGAACATAATATCCTGGATCATATCAGTATGAATGAGCCAGGAAATAATGATTATAATATTGAGCTATGTCTACGTTGTTACTCGAACTAAACAAAAAACTATACAAAAAATAATAAATACAAACAAAAAAAAAACATGCAAAACTAAAAAATGCAACATAACATTACATACACACAAATTAAAACATTTTACATATTTACAATAAAAAATTAAAACATTCACTGTGTGCAATATTAAAAACAATAATAATTTAAATCAAAATCAATACCCATAGATAGTTGGCTGACAATGGTCGTGGAACGTTTATGATTATTTCGATTTCGGTTACCATGGCTATGGCAAACACTGTGTGTCATTTGGCTGTTTTGGTGTTGGTGGTGATGATGATAATTATGTTGTTGGTTTGAGGATTTATTATTCTCATTGTGATCCAAGGTCTGCGATTCATTTATTAATTCCAGACCAATTCCGGGCTGATAATGATGTGAGGTATTGTGGACTGAAGAGTTCGACGAAGTCGTTGATGATTTACTTAAAGATGAACTGCTCGTACCACTCGATAGAGAACTTTCTGATATTAGCGATGTAGGTCGTCGTGATGTTTTCGTTTGATCTGTACTAAGGCCGACAAATGAGTGACGTAATTTTGGAGCTAGAATAATACATAATAAAAAAAATAATCAATTAAGTAAAAAAGTAACAATGGTCTTAAGATCAACAAATATATTTTTTTAATAATTTAACGTAATAAACTTCATAATATTGACAAATCCACTACTATTTAAGATTTAAATAAATTTATTAAAAAGAATAGAAAAAGAACTACTATATATTATATTTTGAAATAAATCTGTTTTAGAATTATTTATATTGTAAAGTACAAAAAATGCTGACATTAATAGTTAATGATAGAATTTCAGTCAGCAATTAACTACAATGAATAGAAATTAATCTATTTTCTTTGTAGTTAACTGCAATTTTCACTTGTTTTTGCTTTGTAAGTTAAAAAACATTACTTGAATGTCTTTTTATTTATTTGGAAGGATTATTGTATTAATAAGCAATATTTATTTGGACTTTGGAATTGATTTTTTTTAGATGAGTATCAGTTGCGAGATACGAAGCTATAGCCTTTCATGCCTTAGCCCTTGGCGGACAATGCCATATTTTTCCCACTAATGTATGGTTATTTATATAAAACCAACTATTTGAGATTACGCCTGACTATTCTGCAGTAACTAAATACAAATGGTATTAATTTTAGTATTAAAATCCCCACCAAAATAATTTAATGATAATCCCATTACACATATTTTTACAGTATATTCTATTTTTTATAATTTTGTTGGAAACAATAAAATAAAATGTGTCTTGACAACTGCAACTTACTTTTACCCAATTGACTAATGGTTATGGATCTATCATTTATTTGATTATTACTGGGTCGTATGTCCAGACAAGGTTTACTACCAATACCCATTGAAGACATTTCCGCAAGGCGAATTTCTGTAATTTAATATATAAACAAATGATTAACAGTTTTAATTAAGTAAATCCATTTTATAATACCTCGATTTCTTTTCGCTTGGCTCCACAATAATTTAGAAATCTCCTCAGTCCATGCATTCTTTATATCCTCTGACATACACTGCAGTGTCCATGTGTCTTCGGGTTTACGTTTTCTAAACCAAATTTCAAATTTGGTTGGTGAATCACCGACATGGGCCGTTAAACCAATATCCGAAGTCTTAATACTATTCTTGTAAATATAAATATCAAGATTCTGCAAATCGGAAAAGTGTTTTATTTAAAATATTACACATTTGTGTTCCATTTGTTTCACTCACCTTATGGTCGGGAAATCTTCGTGATTTACTAAATAATACCAATTCTTCGAATAGAAATATATGTCTTAGTGTTTTCTTACCGGCACGTCCTTGCCATACTAGAAATTCATTTTGTCTCAACAAACGACCCTGTTCTTTGAGATTGACATCACAGTCCCGTAATGAGTCCATGGCAAGTAAATCGTTTCCATGTCTTAATTGAAATTTAACCATTTCTTCGGCTTTTTGTAGCTCTTCAACATCGGCAGCTATTTCCTGAAGGGCAGGTCCCTAGAGAATATACCAAATTATAATTATAAAGAACATTTTATAGAATTTAATTAAAATTACATACCTCTACATTGCTACAGGCCTTAACCAATTGTTGTAGCAGTAGAGCATACTTTCCCATACGTTGAACAGGTTTTAATAGGTACGAGGCCAAATCCATTTTATCATTCAATTCTAATTGTTTTGTCTGAAAGATATAAATATGAAAGATATAATAAGATATTGGGTGTATAATATTTGTTATTATATTCTACTCAATTTATTACAACATATAGATAATGCATAAATATTTATAGATGTCTGTAAAGATGTATTTTATAATTTCGTTAATAATTTTATTATTATAATTTATTATTATAATTTAATTTTATTTAATATATTGTTGTAATTCTATATAAATTTTTAAGATTTATTTTTAAAATACTTCATATATTTATTAGCATACACTTTAAGAAATGCATAAAATATTTATCAAAACTCTCATTCATTACATACCTTAAAGAATGTCGTTCCGTATTCACTCATAAGCGCATCACTTTTTGGTTTATTTTTATTATATAAGGCATACAGATAGAATTTCGATTCCATTTGCAAAAAGGCAGCACCAACTTTAAGTGGATTATTTTCATAACGTTCCAATTCGGCAAGAAAATGATTATTATGAAATTCGAATATTTTCTCAATATTTCCAAAGATAACATTACGTTGACCGCGTAACGATTGTGGAATATCATCACGCAGCAATTCATCGATATAATTCTCAATGACATAGTATAGTGAACGTACATAGTCACGTTCCGTGCCAATCATTTCGCGCATGATCAAGAGGAGCGTTCTGAAAAAAGAAGAGATTATTATAAAAAATATTAATGGATTAATTTAAAAAATAATAATTTTAATTTTAATTGAAAAGGTCCACCCTAGAAATTTAAAAAAAATGTCCCCTTAAGAATGAATGTCTTTGCCATGGCCTTACATCAATACTTACTTTTGTATTTTGGGATCTAAGCAACTCAATTCTTCTAATTTTGGCAATTCAAAGGTGGAAGCAAAACATTGCAAATGTTTATTTGCCTCCAGTGGTGAGTGTATATTCATATAGCATTTAGATGGCTGCTCGAAGCATTCATCATCGAGTTCATCACTGTAAAACATTAATAATAATTTTTCATAAAATCTCAATTGCTTATGAAATATTCACTTACTGCTTTTTATACAAATTTTCATTCTCTTCATTTAGGCTTTGGCATGAACATATTCGTGTTAATTTCGGATTCCCCTCACAACGTTGACATTCACCAACACCAGAGTCGGCAATTTTTGAACGTCCCTCTTCCTCGTCATTATCGATTAGATCATCTTCCATGTAGTCTAAATTGCGACTGTCACGCCAACATTGACAGGCATTGGGGCTCTCATAGGAACCGGTACCATAACTACTTGATCTGTGGCACAATAAACGTGATTTCGTCTGATCCGGTGTGCTGCTTAACATTTGTGGCGATTTAGCACTTGTTGCTCTATCCAGATTATTGTTATGACTTAAATTTAGAGTTTCCGGTTTACGTTTACCCTTATCACGATATTTCTCTAGCAGACCCTTAACACCATATTTTTCGACCAGACGTTCCATTTCCTGTTGCGCGTTTTCATCTTGTATATTTTGATTTAGCAACTGATGCAAACGTGTAAATCCTTCTATTCGTTCACGTGCTGTTTCTAATTTTTCGGCAAAACAGTCTAAGGCTTGTCTTAGATGTAAGGCACTTTCTTGCAATGGATCCATATTGGCGGCAGCAACATGTAAATCACGTCCTTTAGCAAGATTTTTCTGAGAAAAATTGATAATATATTTTTAATTATAATAGAAATATAAATATGTATGTGTAAGGTCATCACACTTACCATTGATATAAAATAGTATTTTTCAAATTCTTGTTCACGTTCTTTCATGGGTGTATCCCAATCCAATTCCATGTTAATAAAACGTTGTAAACATTCACTGCCATCATTGGTTATCCATGATGTAACCTGAAAACAATACAAAATGATGGTTATTTTCAAAATCATATAATAAAAAAATGGTTCGATGTCTATGGTTAAAAATAACGATACAAATATATATTAAATATGTTCCTTTCCATCTGGAGTTAACATATAAATGATTAGCCTTCTTAAGTAAAATGTTGCAGAAAGTTTCCGCATGTCATTATCAGTATCTGGTAACTTTTTTTGCAGATTTATTCTCTTGTGTGTTAAGGATATATAAAAAACTGAATATACAATATCAATGTATATTACAATGTTGTAAAAAGACAACATACAGTAACAATATATATTTTTGAGTTCCTACATCTAGATCAGATCCGTATAGACTAATTTAAAACACATGTATCACAGCTATTAATCTACGTAGGTGGTAACATTAAAAATTATATGTATAGAAAATATTTATAATTTTTTCTCCAATTATGAATGAAAATACCTCAAGAACGATTTCTCAAAATTTGATCCAAATATCTTCCTTATTTAAAATTTTACAGCAATTTTTTCAATAAAAGGTACACATTTAAATACGTTTAAAGTAAATACGCCATTCTTATTGTCTAAAGAATGCCAAAAGGAATACATTTGGAAGTTTCAGGGTTAATAAAATCGTTTCCCATTTGAAGTACCTATTTTCATGGTCTTATTCCGTGTGTTAAATGTAATATTGATAATCCATCTTTATGATTATAAGGGACTTTTTTTCTAATTAGAATTTTTTGCAGACCTACAATGGTCTTGGGAGCATATTTTTTTTTAAATCAAAATATAAAAAAATAATCCTTATACTATTTGTATGAGTAATACTTTGTTTATATTTAGAGAGATATCAACGTAAAATGTCGATTAGATAAGATTAAAATGCAAGAAAATATATCAAATAGAAATTAATTACACTTTTTCTAGATTTGAAATGAATATGTTTGGTAGTCTAGTTTGATAATTTCTGGTGTTAACATACGAACATATGTCGAATAAATATGAAATGTGTTGGCAATTTATAATTTGCGTTTTATAAATAAGAACACAAAATCTATAATATATCGAAATGGTTGAAGATTTGGTAAAGGAAAAAAATATATTGATATATTATTCGATATTTGTAGTATAATTAAAAAAGATAAAGATAAAAGAATATAATTAAAAAAATAAATAAAGAAAAAAAGACTCAAGTGACTCCTAATTTACGAGTTTTATAAAAATGCGTCTTTTATGTTATATAATGGTGAAATCATTTATAACGAGGCAGTTTAACAACATGTCACTTATGACAACGACAAAATTTTTATAAGTAACGAAAAAGTTCCAACATAGTTTATATCGACTCATTTCGCCGGTCTCCTGGTGAGCAATGGAGAACTCGAGTTTCTCGACTACGTAGTTTCGTCTGAGATCTGAATAATTTATTTTACATGGCTTAATTATTAGGGGATCTGAAGAACTACACCTACCACATTCTGTCTCTCTTAGTTATTGTCATGCAGTGATTAACTTTAACATTACAGTACCGCCGTTCACTTTAAAGTTTCCTGTAAAGTGTAGTGTAAGCCAAGAGTTATGCCCAAAGCCATGCTACAATTATACAAAGTACATAACTGCAAAACTACAACAAAGACAATTCAACAACAACCACATAGAAATTTGTTAAACGGCATTTACATTAGAACTTTTTGCAGGGTTAACCCACTTTATCAGGATTTATTTGACAAATAGACAATGGAATTGACAATTGAAACGCACTGGGTTAACTAAATCCGGTACAGTGTAAACGTAGTATTATTGTATGTAATACTAGTTTCAGTTTGATATTTCGGAATTTTTCATTGTCAAGGGATTTGCTGCTTCACATTTTCCCATTAGGAAATCGAAGTAAATTGTAAACCTAAGGGCGACGAACTTCTGTTGCGATTTATTTGATTTGATAATGTAATGATAATGTATTATTGTTAACGCGCGATTAATACTCTTTTTAATTAATATAATTGGAATACTCATGTCAATTCATGGTTGAAACCCCAGTTCAGAAAACAATTAAACGCTGATACTATTCCACCGTCTGCAGATTTGGGAGTATAACAATGGAATTGACAATTGAAACGCACTGGGTTAACTAAATCCGGTACAGTGTAAACGTAGTATTATTGTATGTAATACTAGTTTCAGTTTGATATTTCGGAATTTTTCATTGTCAAGGGATTTGCTGCTTCACATTTTCCCATTAGGAAATCGAAGTAAATTGTAAACCTAAGGGCGACGAACTTCTGTTGCGATTTATTTGATTTGATAATGTAATGATAATGTATTATTGTTAACGCGCGATTAATACTCTTTTTAATTAATATAATTGGAATACTCATCTCAATTCGTGGTTGAAACCCCAGTTCAGAAAACAATTAAACGCTGATACTATTCCACCGTCTGCAGATTTGGGAGTATATCAAAAAATAAAAGTAAAACATTACACAAAATTGTGTTGTATTTAATTTTGGTTCCCTATATATTTGGTCTGTTCCCGTACTGCAAGAATCTACTACTTTCTACTACGATAACGAATTTTCCTTTATGCTGTCGAAGAAAAAAGTAAAATCGAGTAGATTCTTGCAGTACGGGAACAGACCAATAGTAAAGCTCGAATTGTATTATCGTATTTTTTATTTCACATATAATGTGTACAAAAATTTCCTTCTGGGTCGTTTTACATAAATCACGATACAATCAAATTTGCTGAGTATTGCAGTTTTCTTGTATAAGAAAATTCATAATTGTTATCGTTTCAACCAACTAATGCGCTGAGGAAACCTCGAGCAATGCCCTTTTAGACCTTTTAAGACCTTATTATACACTACAAACCTTTTACGGATTTACCTCCTATTAGAAAGCTGATAAAATATCAGCTGATGAAAAATATTTTCCCCGTAATAATTTGCAAATATAGCGTAACACAACTGTACATTTTTCTCTTTCAATTCGCTCTCTTTTACTGGATATTTGCGCAAACAACCAACATCAAGTAACAATTTGTATAAATAATTGTGTAAACGAACATACCCAATGTATTTTTATTACTTCTATAAAAAAATTTATAAATAAATAAAATGAATTGTTATTAATGGCTATGCATTCGTTTATTTCTTCTAGAAAAAAGCAATAAAGAAATGTCTTTGTCCTAAGGAAAAGCCCCTGGATCCAACTTATGTCCGCCTTGTGATATTAAAGACTCGCGAATTCAAAAATGGCTATCGTATTATGGATATTGCCCAACATCAGGAATTGACATCAAATCGATTTTCAATGTGGAAATTTTGTATTTTAATGCATAAAATTTTGCATGAAGGACATAAACAAGTACTACACGATTCATTCCAATATTTACAACAATTTGAAATATGGGCAATCTTTTGGTCGGCCCAAAAGACCCATCACTTGGCACAGTGTATTACGCAATATTGCCGGGTGTTACAAAGGAAACTTACATTTCATCAAACCTATCGACATATTAAAGGAGATTTTCAATATGACTATGAAACTGATATGGATTTGAATACTACGTAAGTAAAAAAGAAAACAATTTGTATTTCTATAATTTTACTTCTGTTTCTTTCTCTTCCAAATAGCTTTCAACTTTGTTTAGATATGTGTGATTATTTGGAGGAATTGCTACATTTAAAAAATTTCATATTTATGAATCTGAAGACAGATAAAATATTTTCAAATTCCAAAAAGGGTTTATGCCGCGTGACAGCTCTGGTCACCATTATGGCCGAATGCAATTTGCTGTATCAACACACTGTAGACGTTTTGCGTTTGCTACACTCTCAATTATCCGCAGATGTTATTTCCGGTTTATGTGTACGCTTTAATAATGTGATATTTATTGAATTGCAGAGATTTTATGAACAAGTGCGATTACTCCAAATGCCGCCAAACTATTTCGATATACCAGTATTGCCCGCGGCGTCGCCCTTACTAACAGATCAATACAATAGAACATCAACAATTACCACCATCCATCGGAATAGCTATGAACCAAGTGCACCATTAATAGATGATCTTCATGATTATTAGTAATTGTGTAAATAATAATTTAGATATTTTTTATTTAGTTTATAAGTCTGTAAATATATTTATTAACAGATATACTGAATTTGCGCTAAACCAAATGTGATTGTTTAAAATAGTTGGTACTTTTTTGTTATTTTAATATTATTTTGTTAATTTTACTTCATGGGGAACCAATTTTATAGGGAAATTGCATTAACATTTTTATAATTGTATATAAGATATTTTTTTTTAATTCTTTATTGTATATTACAACATTCTTAGTTAGTATATTGTAATGTAAAATTGTTTGGCTTTATTAGCTTATGCGTTACTATGTATGAAATAAATGAAATGAAATGAATAATAGATATAACACATATTGAAAACTCAACAATTGTTTATTAAAATAAAAAAAATAGGATGCATGACACACTTTTACATTAAGTAATATTAAGTAATTTTCTTAAAACAGTTTTCCACAGCTTTAAAAATTAATCTACAAAAACTCTATCTAGGTCAACACTTAAATTAAAATTTTAATTTATATTAATGAAACATTAAAATAACCAACATAACCATAATCTAATTCCATCAATAGAAAGTGCAAGTTTCATACGACATTATTGCATCTTGAATGAAATAGCAAGCAAACAAAACGAAGAAATCACTTGTATTGATTTGAAATTCTTAAAATAGTCAAGTGAAGAAATAATGGAAAAAACATGAATAGTTAAACAAATAACAATTTTAATTATCAATAGAAAATTTATTAGTCTTTATAAGCGCCAAAGTCAAAAACAATTATAAATACTGGCCACTGGTAGTCCAACATTGACCATTGGATGCATTGCCAATTACATGGTACAACCAACAACCATCATACCTAAGCAATTATCTGGTATCTTCTTATTAGGGGAACATCTGCTGAAACAATAACAACAATAGGCTGACAATGATGACACGATTTTACGTTTCTTTAATTGTGTACAGACAATCGGTGACAAAGTATTATTAACCTGTATGCCATACAGGTTAATAATACTTGGTCACCAAACATATCGAAAGAGTTTGAAAGATTGTATCGATGAAGCACGCGACATTTAACAAAAACGAACAATTGCTATCTTAAAAGGAAACAAACTGTAAGCAATAAAGAAAAGCCAGATGTTGGACTCATGTCTGTAACATACATATCGTCAGCTAAAATGCAAAAAGGCGTAACTAACAAAAAATTGAAAATTGGCTTTTTGAATGAATACTGTGAATGTCAATAAACTACATGTGTTGACAAAGTTTTACACGTCTGCGGTCAAAAAAGGAACTTCTATTAACAAAAAACAAAAAGGCGTAACTTACAAAAAATTCAAAATTTTACTTAATTGTTATGACTGCCATTAAACTAAATAACTAAATTTGTTGAACAAATTATTGTCTATTATTCATATGCAATATCACCCTGATACTTTTCTTTTTTGATGTTTAATATAAAACAGTTTTTTGCTTCTCCTAACAATTATGCTTTTGTTATTATTTATATACGATATGAGATTAATATAGTTAAAACATTATTTATATACCTTATCACGGCCTATAAAAGGATAAACATTTTAAATATTTGTTATTTTTTCATTAGTCCATTGTGTTATTGTTGATTGAAGAATTTCTGAAGATGGTAAAATACTCTTTGTAAATCTGCATAGAATTTAGGTTTGAAAATAAAAATTGATATTTTGATCATACCTTATGAAACAAAATTACTTGGATACCGGTGGAGCTTTATATAATCGGTCATGACTGATTAGTAATTCAATTGGAAATAAACTATGGGCAAATGGATTTAATTGATCTAGCCATATGCGACTGTTTATTTATAAAACACATACACTGTATACCACTGGGATGACAAACATGGTTTGATATTGTAAGGGAATTAAAGGAAAGTTGGTTTTACAAATACTATAAATGCAATACAAACTAATAAAAATTGTTTTCTTAAATTAGTATTATTTATTGTTTTCTCATACAACATGTAATATATGTATAAATTTTGTTTAATACAATCAAATAAAATTTTAAAAAATTCAATAGAAATCATCATCCATTGCTGTTTGACGACTTTGTTGATTTTTAATTTGATCCTGAGAATTGTACATATATGCCACTTCACGACCAGTTGTGGCCATTTCGGGGGTTTTGTCATCTCGTATTCTTATGAAACGTGGAAATCTCAGCGATATACCTTTTTCCGGATCTGCAATACCAATAGCTGCCTTGTGTATAGGACTTATAGAAAGATCAGCACACTTGACCTCCCATACTTGAACGGGTTCAAACCAATCATCAGGTTCCAGAGAACTGTCACAAGCAATGTACGATTTCTTCGTTGGTACAACATGATTTTTAAAGAAATCGGCATGTGTCTGTAGACTTTCATCGGAAAAGCCAGTTCCGATTTTACATATACTTTGATATTCTTCATTTTCATCATCATAACAGGCGAGAAGGAAACCGCCGTAACTGCCAGTACGTTTACCTTTACCACGATAACCACCAATAACAACTAAATCCAATGAGTCTCCACAACCAGCCAGATAATCTTTTTTCAGTTTTAACCAATTTCGTGAGCGTCTAGCAATCTCATATGTGGCATCTTTCTGTAGGGTCTTAACCATCAAACCTTCACAGTTTCCTTTAATCGATTCTTCGAGGAATGCCTGAACTTCATCCACATCACTGGTGTCCATGGCATGAGCGAAATGCCACATACCTTCTGTTTCATTGAAATTCTCCTTCATTAGCTTTCGACGATCCGCAAAGGGTTTGGTAACCAACGGTTCGCCATTTAGGTATAATAAATCGAATGCGTAGACACAGACCTGTACCTTAATTTCTTGGACATCGACGTTTTTGCGTTTTCTTGTCGTTAGCACCTGGAAGGGCAGGATCATTTTTTGCTCCACATCCCAGGCAACAATTTCACTGTCAATGATGTAGGATTTGACACATTCTTTGGAAAACTCTCCTATTCTACAAATAATATCGGGATATTTGGTTGTATTGTTTTCCTGATTACGTGAAAAGATTGAAATTACACCATTTTCGTCACAATGTATCTGTGCTCTCTCGCCGTCATATTTAAATTCACAAGTAATTGTGAGGCCATCAAAACGTTCGAGTACTTCTGAAACACCTTTTGTTGGTTGGGCCAACATAGGCTTGATCGGCACACCCGGCAACATGGGACAACGTTCCTCTATCTCATTGATGCCATATTCCAATAGAGTTGGTATGATTTTATCATAATTTGGGCATTGGCAATAGGTGGTCTTTAGTATTAGAGTTACCTCTTCGATTTCAGTTTTCAACTTTTCTTCACCTATTTTCTTCAGATTGTCCATATGCTTACTCTTGACAATACCGGTTGCCACTGCATTTATTAAACTTTGTTCAGCAATGCCAATACGCAGTTTACCAATCAGAGATCTGATAAAGAATCTGGCCTCCGATCCACGACATGCAATAAATATGTCTTTAATGGGTGTTACCTTATTTTTGCCCGGAGCATTTGCAATATCTTTGAGTTTTTTGAACACACCTGATATGGTTAGCGGAGCTGGCTTGAACATCATTCGTTGGGCCATACGGGATTGTTCAGCTACTATGCCCAAATCCCCAGTTATATGCGTTTGAGATTTAATAAAATCCATTTTACGTCCAGTTGTATCACAAATGATTTTCATCAGCGTTGTTTCGGCAACACCAAGTTCCAAACCCTCATAGGCTGGTGCCAATTGATTAATGGACAAATAAATGCTTGGCAATAAATCATCTGGATTGGTGACTATAACCGAACTAAAGAAATTTCCCAATATTTCAACCATTTTCAAACGCCCTCGAGTTTCTTCAATCAACTGGAACGTGCGTGTTAATGCGAGATATGGAATTTTTTGGCCCTTTTTCCAAGCGGCATCTTTGAGTGGATGATAATTCGCCTTGTCGGGATTATAATCCGTGGTAATGCTATCCACTTTTGTGTCATTCAATTGTAGGCACATTGTTTTCTGTGCAGGCTTCTCGGGACTTTTGTCTTCCTTCTCTTCTTTTACTGGTTCCTTTTTGACCACCACAGAGGTGGTCGATTCTGTCTTCACTTTATTGCTAATTGATTTTTCATTTTCCTTACTTCCAGGGCTTGTTTCAGTCTTGATCTCTGTTTTAATTGATTTTGCTGCATTGCCTGTAGCTGATTCCTGATCAGATTTCCTCTTCACCGGTGTGTTACTTGTTTTGTCTTTAATCTCCTTTTCCTTGGCAGCATTTTCCGACTTGGTTACTTTTGTTTTCTTTACTTCCGCATTGGCTGATGAGTCCTTTGGCTTAAAAAATGATGTTATATTTCGCTGAGACATTTTTCCACGGACAACACCACCAAGATTGTTCAACAATCTATAACTTTTGTTTATATTATTCTCGGCAAGAAGAAAAAACCGCCAACTTTCAGTCAGCAATGACAATTGATGTTTATTTATTTCTCTGCTGCTGCTGCTGCGACATGAGGCAATCAGTGTTGTAAAATTTGGTACTTTAGTAGTAGTAGTGGTTGTCCGTATTGCAGTTTTTGTTTGGTATGATTTTGTTTTGAAAATAACTTTGCCAAAGAAACGAATCATTGGTATAACCTATTCTATTCACATTCCTCTTGATATGATTTCCTTAACAATTATGTTTGCTTTTGCTTTGCAATTTTACAGCTGTTGAACACAAATAAAACGTGGAATGCAAAAATAGCGAAGCAGGCAATTTTCAGGGTTACCGTATCCCTTTGATTATGTATGTGAAGAGGGTACAGTACTGTTGACATATTGTGAGTCACATTCGAGAGTATAAGATATGTACGTTTGTTTTAATATGTACATACGGTTTTTTTTAATAAATACATGAATACCATGTGTTTTGTTTGGTCTGTGTTAAGCACATTTCTTTGAATTAGACTTGTTCGATGTTGTCTTTGTATTGGCAACATTACATTTTTTAGATCCAAACACAGGTTGACTCATAAATTATAAAAATACGACGTGATGACTCAATAAAAACTATTTATAAACATGGCATTTTTATTGAATTATTATTTATCTTTTATCAGTGAACGAATTGTTAGTAATACTAAGAGCTTTGAATCTTTAAATACCATTTATAAAAGCATATACGTTTATTTTGTGCTAGAAATCTGCATAAAGTAGGTTAAAGTTCTAAGGTACATGCATTTTATCAGCTAATTACATAGAATTTTAAAAAATATTTAAAACTTTTTAAACATTGTTGACTATTATGTAAAATTTTTGACTATCACTACTATTCTACTACTACTTTTCAAGGACAATCAAAAACTATCAGGGTTAAGAAGTATTTCTTCAAAGTATATTAGTCTATGCTTGGATTTTTACGGAATATTTTTTAAGAATCACCTAGGTTATATAGGTGATTTTTTAAGATTTTGTCGAGAGCTATTTATATTTCAAGGACTATACTATAAAACTATAAGAGCTATGTTCTTGGATTAAAAAAAAAAAATATATGTAATCATAGACAGTAAAAGCTATATGCGTGGATTTTCAAAAAATATTTCTTCTGGGTCTATAAAAGCTATAAAAGTGGACTTTTAAAGATTACAGGTTTTAAAAAATAATTCATCTGAGATTATAAAAGTTAAGTATGAACTGTTACAGAATATTTCTTCAGTGACTACAAGAGATATAAGCGGGGATTTTTTGAGAATATTTCCTCAGGGACTACATGTGAAATGAACATGAGGCTTGAAGGAATATGTTTAAGGGATTATAAACGATACAGAGTTGGATCATTGCTACAGGCGTGGATTTTTAGTTAATAATTTTTTTAGGGACTAAAGGGAAATTTAAAGAACATTTTTAAGAGGCTAAGCGCTACAGAAGTGGATTTTTAAAGAATAGTTTTACGCGACAATAAGCGATTTATGCGTAAATGTTTAAAGAATATTTTTAGAGGGACTACTAACGCTACAGGCGTGGATTTTTAAAGAATATTTTTAGAGGGACTACTAACGCTACAGGCGTGGATTTTTAAAGAATATTTTTAGAGGGACTACTAACGCTACAGGCGTGGATTTTTAAAGAATATTTTTAGAGGGACTACTAACGCTACAGGCGTGGATTTTTAAAGAATATTTTTAGAGGGACTACTAACGCTACAGGCGTGGATTTTTAAAGAATATTTTTAGAGGGACTACTAACGCTACAGGCGTGGATTTTTAAAGAATATTTTTAGAGGGACTACTAACGCTACAGGCGTGGATTTTTAAAGAATATTTTTAGAGGGACTACTAACGCTACAGGCGTGGATTTTTAAAGAATATTTTTAGAGGGACTACTAACGCTACAGGCGTGGATTTTTAAAGAATATTTTTAGAGGGACTACTAACGCTACAGGCGTGGATTTTTAAAGAATATTTTTAGAGGGACTACTAACGCTACAGGCGTGGATTTTTAAAGAATATTTTTAGAGGGACTACTAACGCTACAGGAGTGGATTTTTAAAGAATATTTTTAGAAGGACTACTAACGCTACAGGCGTGGATTTTTAAAGAATATTTTTAGAAGGACTACTAACGCTACAGGCGTGGATTTTTAAAGAATATTTTTAGAGGGACTACTAACGCTACAGGCGTGGATTTTTAAAGAATATTTTTAGAGGGACTACTAACGCTACAGGCGTGGATTTTTAAAGAATATTTTTAGAGGGACTACTAACGCTACAGGCGTGGATTTTTAAAGAATATTTTTAGAGGGACTACTA